TGGGATACAAAGGCTCATCCATCATTGACATGTTAAACTCACAAGATCTTACACCTGTAAACATGCCAATAAACTCGAAATAGTCATTTGATTCTATTTCAGACCTCGAAAATTTGAAAATAGAAAACAAAATTAGAAATAACAGTTAAATCCGAACAAACATTTAACCTTTTCCTCCTTGTTAGGGAGAAGATTATAGGAATAAACCACGCCCTAAGCTATAACAAATATGATTAAAGAGATGGTAATAAATGCTAAGAAAAGGTGATCCAATCTATAAACAATTCGAGAAAGACGTGCAAAATCTTTGTAACTTGAATCGACTGAAGCCGAAGACCGGCGGAGAGAAGATCTATAATACCAAGAAGAACATTTCCTTATAGTGAAAAAGAAAAAATGGTACCTTTCGAGGTTCGAGTCGAGGATTTGCTCGAAGCACGATCTGATATGCAAATGCGGGCAGAGAGAGGATTGATCCGTAAAAGATTAGAGCATTTAGTGTTTTAATTATCTCGACATACGAGAGCTCTTTTTTACCATAACTTTTTTTGATTAAATTTGTCACGTCCCTGTATTATTTACAAAATAAACTTTAATCCTCTGTATTTCATTTTTGTACAATTGAGTCTTATTTTTATTTAAAAATCTTGTTTTCTCTCCTAACTTCTATTTAATTTTACTATTAATAGTTTACCTAATAAATATAAACATATAAAATCTTCTTTAGTATTTAAGTTTACATTTTTTGATCAATTTAGTCCTTAATCCTTGAAATAAATTAAAATATCACTATCTAAATAACATAATTTTTTAATCATTTATTTATAATTTTTAAGAGATAAATTGATATATAAACGTAGAAGACTAGAGAAACTATTTCATTTTTATCAAAATTAATGACAAAATTAAATAAAAATTAATAAGAGATTCAAATTTTCAAATTAAAATAGTATCCAACTAATACATATTTTGCATAATCTCATTACGAAGTAACCCTTCTAATTCAGTTTTCTCTATACATAAACATTAAAATTCAAACTCCTAATTTTACTTAAGGAATCTAATGCATCATCACATTAAATCAACTAACTGTTGATACGAAAATTTCAAATTTAATATCGATTTATTTTCCAAAACGAACTCAAACTCTTTTTAACATTATTATTTTTTATTAAGCTAAGGTGATTATAAAATAATATCTATTATAAATACTCTCAACCATTTGACAATAAACGCTCAATCACCCTACTGCAGACGCTATTGTTTGAACCTGTGGCCTCTAAGATAAGATTTTTAATAAGATTTTTAAGAATGAGATGTATGGTTGACTAAATAATAAAAAATATTTAAATCTATATATACAGTCTATGTACATAGTTTGATCAAAGAAACTAGTTGAGGCCCAGATGTTGATCTCTAATCCTCACTGTTCAGACGAATCTAAACAGTCTAGACCAAAGGCCGGTGCGCCCTCTTGCTGCTGCTGGTACCGGTAGGCTCATTGGGTTCCTTAAAGTTGGCTTTCTCACTCAACTCTATAAAAGAGTCGACGACGTTTTGCAGCCGTGCGACGAATTCGATCAAAAGCGAAGTGAATGTTGCCAGTGACAATGCACTTGCATTCTCGTATGTTTTCGACTCTCCCAAAGGCGGCAATGCATCATCAGTAAACGAATAGGTTGCAGGCCATGATATCTGCTTCTTGATGTCGTTAGAGGTTGCATCCGGAGGAGGGACAGTGGGGGCGACACCGACACTGTTATGCAGGCCATCCCAACAATTTGGTATAGCAACCGATCTGAGATCGAGTACTGCTTCACTGAGGGACTTATAACCCAGGACTTTGTGTTCTTCACCATCCAAGTTCAATAAGTCTTGAGCCTCCGCTGGACTAAATGGTCGGTTCCCGATTTCCCAACTGTCGGCATTGACAAGAAGGTAGGATTTTCGGTCGATTTTGTGTTGTAGCTCCTCTGCAGCCTCGTGTACTTCCAATAGCATGTCGACAGGGCCTAACTTCTCCATCTTTTTAACTTTGTTCCCGAGCTCACGCAATACACGTGCACCTGCAGCACCTACCCTCTGAAGTTCATGAAAAAAGACTTGCCTCCGTTCTGGTGGAGCCTATAAGGAAAGTATTCAGATTTGAAATTAAAGACGACAGACACCCAACATCTTCAATAAACAAAAAAGAAAAGTGGCACTAGCAATCGTATAGCACATTTCGAGCAAAAACCGATAACTCGGGGATCCTAGTGACATACGCTATAGAACAAACAAAGCATGCTGAAAGTAAGGACCATGAGCATCTACCTGTATTTCTGAAAGTATACAACCATGTAACGCCATGACCATGAATGCACAGTGCCTCAAAGCTCCACTTAGTTTGGCATAATTCTTCCACGGATAACGAAGTGACCTGTAAGGACCATGGGGAGGCTCCCAGATGGCAAAACCCAACTTCGGGTACGAAAATAAAGGACAGAGAACGGGAATGAAGATTAGAACACCATCATTTCAAATATTTTGTGGAAGATGTAACATAAACACGACATAATTACCAGAGCTTCCTCTTGACTCGAAGCTTCAACAGCTGATCTATAGCCACTGTATACAGGATCATCAGAAGCTTGATAAGTTAGAATTTTCGAAGGGACCCTCTCGTATTCAACACAGTTAAGGTACTCCTTAACACATCCTGATAGAAAACGGAAGGAGACAAGCATGAACGCGGTATTAGTTTCGAATCTCGATGAGACAAATGAATTAGCAGACAATAGGTACATGCTAACCTTCTAAGGAATTCGCCACACTGGTGAAATTTTTGGCAACCAAATTGTGTAGATCCTCACCAGCCCAGATCGGGTAAATGCATACATTAATAACTAGAGAAACACCGGCACCGAGTGCAATCAACAAAAACCGTGTCACAGCTGTATGGATGAAGTCCCCTGTCCTATACCCAGATACTATTATGAAACAATACGTCAAAATAAACACTCGGAATCCATACTCATAAGGCTTCATCGTCGGGTATAGTTTTGCATAAGTTGAAAAGAATCCTGGCAACCAATGGCATACAAAGAGAAAGCATATCAGCAAGCAACTCTAAAAAGAGACTAGCAACTAATAATACACTACGTGAGACAAGAAATCAAGACCACAAAGCCGTACCTATAATAAAGATGCTAACAACAACAACAACTTCTTCATATTTTCCAGCCAACTCCGACAATGCTGCCATAGCAAGAGCAAGCCCTCCAGCCGATAATGTTCCCAGCCCACGGTTAAATCCTTTGCTAAGGGTTGCTCCTGCAGCAAAAGAAGGTGACCGAAGGATGTAAAGAGAACAGAACGTATGTTTCTTTATTCGGGATGATTATAAACAGGAAAAGAAAGTAATGACAAAAAAGAAAAACAACAAAAGAACTACAGATAATCAAATAAAGCTACAACATTGTGGATAAATGACCCCCCATGGACCAAATTATGACCATGCATTGGCCACATAGACATATATGACTCTCCATGGACCCAATTTCTTCCAAGAGGCTACCGATACTAAAAATAAGAACAAAGCAAAAACATGATTCTGCTTTCAGTTTTAAGAATTAAAAACAGATTAATAAAAGCAACAGTTCGATCAAACATCTAAAGTATATCCCAAAGAGGAAATAAGATTGTTAATAAAAATATTGCAGTCAAACATATGCATCAGCAACAAGATGAACAGTTGAGTTAATAAATTATTGTGAATGACCCACATAAGAGAACTATTAAAAAAAAACGAAATTACCTATACTGAATTCAAATACTACGACAACGGTGAGAATAGCCCAAACAGAGTACTGACTGAGATCCTTCATGGGCTGTTTCAAGAAAATAAGCAAGGAAATAAGCGCCAAGGCAAGACCCATCTTGGCAGAGAAGATAATCTTTCTGGGATCGGATTTGCCCATCTTCCATGCCTGACTCGAAACATGTCGGACTTCCTTTAACAACGCGTTCACTTTTTCGTTTATGAATCCGCAAGAAAACCACCCCCGTCGTCGTCCTTCTTCTTCTTCGTTGGTTAATCCCAGCACTGAATACCCTTTTGTTTTATCCCTTTTTTCTAGAAGAGAATGCCTAAACGAACCCAGCTTTGCAGCCATTGAGTACCAGAAACTTCTGTGAATCGCTGTAGGATAAAATCCCCCCTCCGATAATATCCGTCTTAAATAGTAAGAGATGAGGTTGGTTGACAACTTGAGATAGAAGGAACGACGCCGTTTATTAGTTTGGTAGTGATGTAAGAAACTACGAATAAAAACTACCCATCACTGGGTCCCGAAGAGGCGGCTTGCCCGAATCTCGTTCAAATTCCATTTTTAAGTTCAACCGTCCATCGTAGGAGCCGAAACAGATTTTAATTTGTATGCAATTTGGCGAAAAATCACATTTTGTCCTCTGAATTCGGCAACCTTTCTCAATTTGGTCTAGTTTTTTATTAATAAATACTAAAAATTATTAATTCATTTTCATGTTGTATTATTAATATTAAACTACACATTACTTATATTTAAAAATAAAAAAAAAGTATTTTTATTATTATCTTAATAATTTAAATAATGAATTGAATTGTATATCAAACCTTTAATTACCCGTTCAAAAATTCTTTAATTTCACAATCACTTTGATTTAAAATATTTAGATTTATAGGTAAATAATATTTTCTTAATTTATATTATTTTTAATTAAATATAATAAAATAATCATTTAATAGCATTTATATTCATGTTAGATAATCTTATATACATATACTCATGTATGAACCAACAAAATTTAAATTCTCTTACATTTTAGATATTTTTCTTATATTTTATATATATTATCTAATTTCGTGTTCATGAGATTTTATAATTATGCACCACCACCTAAACTTTTAATATAATTTCTGTATCCACCACGTCCGCTCCGAAAGAGACATTAAGAATCGGCAACCAAATCTCTCTTTTTATTTATCTACAAAGCGGAAAAAGATTCAGGCCGCCACGCCAGCTCCGAAATATCCGCCGCTGTATCGAATAACCCTCCCAACGCCACAAAATCACCGCTTTTACCATGGCTATTTCTATTATTGTTATTATCGCTGCTATTGATGTCCGAGTCCCCGCCGACTCCGAACTCGAACGATTCGTAACTCGGGAACGGAAACTCATACCCCATCGTTTCCGCAAATCCAACAGCTCCCGGCCTTCCACCTCCTTCCACATTAACGGTCCCAAATTTGAGCTCCTCTACAATACACGAAAAATTCAACGGTAAATCATGCTCATCTCCCGAAGCTTGTAAAAGAAACCCTAGATCAGACCGGGACTCACCGGAATCCGATTGCGTCACCGGAATCGCATATGGAGTGGGGACCATGATCTCCTCTTCGAAGCTTTTGATGACCAAGTCCAGTCCCTGAATCTCCGGGTCAGGTTCAATGACCGGATCCGAATCTTCCAGGATACTGAGCAATTCTTCCGGGATGCGCTTTGCCTCCGGCGACTGAATATCCCCGTCGTCAGGGTCCGGCTCCACGTAAGTAACGACAGGTGAGCACAAGCCCGTTTTTCCAGAGTCGACTCGAGCGAACTTTGAATCAGGGACCAAGCTAACCTCCGACTCAAAATCCTCATACTCTACCCGGGCTCTCTTGCTGCCATTGTTATCCTCTACCGCCATTCTTACAAAAACAACCTCACTCTTGAATCTATTCTAGTTTATTGGGACTGTTTGGGTAGCAAGAAAATTTAAAAGAAGATGCCAGAAAGCGAGGGAAGTGTAGAGCACGTGAGAAAGAGAAACTGCTGGAAGATAATGAGTGGGAAAAAAGAGGATGTGGAATGGGTATTTATATATGGTGTCAAGCATGGGGATATTTTGATTTTATCTTTTTTTAACAAATCTTTTAAAAATAAAATTAGAAAAAGAAAAAACAAATATTTTAAATTGAATTGAAGATAAAGAGAGGCGCGTGGAGAGCGCAGGCGAAAAAGATAAGGTTGCCTTTGACGTGTCATCGCGGAATTGGCTGCCTTTCTTTATCCGTCTCTTCCTCTTCTCTCAGTTACTGTTTCTTTTTCTTTTTCAAAATTGATTTTTTCTGTTAAATTAACTAAATTTAAATCTAGGACTTTTTATGTTTGGAGTCCGTTGCGTGGCCCCTCACCGAATAAGGAGGAGAGTGGGCGGCTTCGCTCGTTTTTCTTGCAATTATTTATTTATTCATTTCATTTGATGACCATGTTAAGGTGGGCTAAAGTTCCCGTTTAATGCATTAGGGAATCTTTAATTCCCAAAATAAAGAACTCACGCCATTATTTCCTCAAATGGGTGAATGTTATAGAAAAAATGTAAAGTTTGGGATATCTCGGCGTCTTCAGTGTGTTGCATTTGTTCAAGGGATATCTCGGCGTCTTCATCTTTGCTGAGATGTGGGAACGCTGCTACTGTTGAAGCTGGAGGGCATGGACGTGAGCAGTTGTTGCATGTGGGAGCTGTTGCTGTTGAAGCTGGGGGGCTGGACGTGAGCAGAGTAGGCGCAGGAATCTTGCAGGCTTCACCATTCACCATTCATCATTGTTAAAAACCAATCTTGTTCTATTGTTTATAGCCAAGCTGCAACCAGTGACCTTTTCACCTGAAAAACGGCATGCCCTTGTGATTGCTCTCCAAACAAGCGCAAATAAAGACTGAAAGAAGCAGATTCTGCGTGTTTTATATTCCGCGTTAGCCCTTTTTTTGAGCTCTACGTTAGCCCTTGTGGTTTTGCTGCAACATGCATGGCTGCCAAACCACGTATGTTCTTCATATATTTGCATAGAAGACGTCGAGCAATCCAAGTTTGTATGGAAATTTTTTGAATGAAGACGTCGAGAGATCCAATAATGCATGTAAATTTTTGTGCTGAAGACGTCGAGAGATTCTTTGAACGAATGCAAGCTGAAGACGCCGAAAAGTCCTAAACCCTTTCCTTGAAGACGCCAAGACATCCCAAGCTTTGTATTTTTCCTGTATCATTCACCCCATTTAGAAAAATAATGGCATGAGTTCTTTATTTTGAGAATTAAAGATTCCCAAATGCATTAAACGGGAACTTTAGCCTGTTAAGGTGTTTTCCCCGAGAAAAAAACATCCTGATTTAAAATATTTATAGAATCAGTACCTAATTTTAAATTAAATAACGATATAAATAATAAAATAAAAGATAAATATTTTTTATCAATACAATAATATAACGGGCAGATGGTAAAATAATTTCTCTAAATTTAGAATATTGGAAAAAAAGTAACTTTTACATTTATAGTATACATAATTTATTATTTTCGAAATAATCATCTAGCTCAGTTGGTAGAGCATAAGGTTCTTAACCTTGAGGTCGTGTGATCAAGTCTCATGGAGGGCATTTCATAATTCGGAGGTCTCCTATGGAAGCTGCTCTCAACCTAGTGTTGGGGGTAACCTACTATCTTACATCCCCTTACCCCATTACATATGGGAACATGGGACAACCATTTATAATTTATTATTTTCGTATCAATTTAATAATCAAAGTTACTCAATTACATTATTCTATATTATATCTTAACTTAAACCCCTAAATTGTAAACCCTTAACATAATCTCATAATCTATAAACTATAAACATTAAATATAAACTCTAATTCAATGTTTATAATTTAGAGTTTTAAGTTAAAAATAAAATATATATCGATATAATTAAATAACTTTGATTATTATATTAATGTAAAAATATGATAAAAATAAAAATAATAAATTAGATGTACTACGAAAATAAAAGTGATCTTTAAACCTTGAATATTTTATAATCATACATCGTACGCGAAAGTAGAAGGCACGTGATAAAGTCACATAATAAAGTCACGTGACGAAAATAAGAATTAGGACGTGTGGTAGTTTATTTTGAAAAGAATAAAAATAATTAAGTTAAATTGTTAGTAATGTTCGATTTTTGTGGTTCATGAATTTTACCGTGGGGTTGATAAGAATATCGAATGATTAATTTAGATATTTTATTTCAAAAATATAATTATAATTTCAATCCATATAAACAACTAAAGTTAATCAATATATTATACAAAATAATTAATTGAGTGAAAATTACAACGCATCAAAATATAAACATAAATGTAAAAATAATTATTAAAATATTCATACAAAGATAAAATATTAAACCTAAATATACGGAAAAAATAAAAAAAATTATATTAAGAATGACGACCAACGTCTAAACATAATAAACTCCACAAGAACTTTGTCTTTGTCGAGAGATACGTTTTACGAAATAATAAAATAAATGGTGAGCGAACCAAATAATTTGACAGGTTGTTTTGCTACACAATTATAATTACATCGTTAAACAATCTTTTACCAAAAAAAGGATTCGACTACACGTAACCACCAAAAAACCAATCAGAAAATAAATGTTGTGATGTTTTTGTGAGAACCAAAACGGCTACAAAAGTATGCGAAAAATGTACCAAAAAATATAAGGATTGTGCCACAAAAACAGAGGAAAAATATGCCACGAGGACAAAGATTCTTATTCAAAATTAAAAAGACTCAAAAATAATACATAATATAAAAGATAAGAAAACTAATAATCATCAGCGGTCAACAACCAATATTAAAATTAATATTGTCACCGACTAAATAAAAATTAAAGAGAAAAAATAAAACGACACAAAAATATTAAAAAATAGTTAAAAGAATGGAGAGGCGGGTAATACTTTTATATTTTTCACGTATCATTTTTTCACCATATATTTTTAATATTCGTTGTCGATGATAATTATTAATATTTTTAAATATAAATCTATAGTAATTTTTGGAAAATAAGAAACAAATTGTTAGGGTCGATGAAGCTCGTTCGATCAACTGAAATATGGCAAGAGGATGGTGAATTGATTTTTTGAAATTTAGGGAGTAAGGTGTATAAAGATAGAAAAATTTGCACAATAATTTATAGTTGTTTTACTTCTTCAATGAAGTCTGCATCCACTAATTTGTTCTTTCTTTTTTCAAAAATAAATAGATAATCTTTACAAACTCCATAGCTTTTCAAATGATTTGTTTGAACCAAAACTCCTTTACAAAGGAAAAGAATTGTAAATAATAAAACCTCAAAAAATAAAGGTGTTTACAAATTAAAACTCACAAAAACACAACTATTTACTAGAGAAATAAAATAAATAACGAAAACATTTTCTCATGTGTTTTGATTGTTTTGATAGGTGTTGTTCAACCTTCTTCAAATATCATCGACTTGTTTTTATATGCTGGAATAAGTTACTAGTTGTTTAAGAAGATTTGGAGTCGTTGGAAGACTTTCTGCACACAAAGTTTCGAAACTCTGGGGAAAGTTTCGAAACTTTTTGGAAAACTGTCTTGGAAAGTTTCAAAAATCTTGTAAAAGTTTCAAAACTTCTTGTTAAAATACTCATTTTAAGGTTTTGATTGGAATTTAAATTATTTTGATGAAAACTTTGAATAAATTCAATTTAATCCAAAAACATTTTGCCTTTATTTGTTATATCAAAATATTAGTTCTACAAAAATAAAATTATTTTGAATTAAACTTCTAACAGTTTAAAGTTTATTTAAACATTGAGAAAAATATGAAATAAATCGAAATTAAATCAAACAATAGTATTTTATTTAATTTTAATTTTATTGATAAATAAGAATGAATATAAAATAGTATAGGTTTAAAATGAATATAAAATAGTATGTGTTTAAATATTCTCGACTATTTGATAGTAAAGACTTATACTCCTGATACAGAGATGAAGCCACCTTATGTTCGACGGGGTAACTGTCCGCCAATTTTTTTATTTTTAAAAATATAAATGGGAAAATATTAAATTAAGGCTCCAAATTTTAGTTATTTTGATTTTGTCCCTCTCATTTTCTATGATTAATTATACTTTGCCCCCTCATTTTTTATGATTAATTATATTTTGTCCCCCTTAAGTTGGAATCCTGACTCTATCCCTATCCTGATATCTACAACATTCGAACCTAAAATTTTAAAAATAATAACAAATCTTTCAATCATTGAAATCATTTTATTTGTGCAATTTAATTTTAAATTTTAAGTTGGAATCACTGACCACTGGCCAACCACCTCTAACAACTCTAATCGGAAGCCATAAATAATTTATGGGAATTCAGAATTGGCAAAGGGAAAAAGGAAATTGATTCCTTGAAAGTGAAGGAAAACCACAAGGGTGTGAATGCATTCAGTTGTTGGAAGTCAATTTCCTTTTTCCCTTTGCCAATTCTGAATTCCCATAAATTATTTATGGCTTCCGATTAGAGGTGGTTGGCCGGTGGTTAGTGAACTAATTTTTTTCGTTCATTGTATTAAAGTTTATAATTTAAATTTTTATTTGGGGTCAGTTTGGCAATACTTTTGAAAATTGACTTTTAAAAGTGTGATAATTTTTTTAAAAGTTATGTTCAGAAATACAGTTTAAAATCTAACTGTATAGAACTATTGTTAAAAAATGAGTTTGAGAAGATAAAATATATGTCATAACCATTTTTTGATTTAAAATAATTTTGACTTTGTTTAGATTTCGGATTATTTGAAATTTAGAGTCACCATCGACCTTTAGGTTATGTTGGTCGAATACCTAAAAACGTATTTTAAAACAATTTTAAGAAAAATTATTTTTAAGACAAAAATTAGTATGCGCTTACCAAAGATTTGGTATTCGATTACTTGTGGGAAACGATTAGCACCCCACATCGCCCAAAATTGGTACCTCTCGATTATATGTTGTC